AGTTTTTTTGTTTATTGCTACTAAAAAATGACCTAAAAGAGTTTGAACATATATATTCACATTCTGACTTTTTAAATGCCCATTTAATTAGGTGTGTGAATTTTTTCTTTATGAGAATGTGAGGCAATGTGGTATATAGGGTAGAAAAATCAAAACTTTGAACAGATTCAAAATCACTTATAAGTTAACCATTCACAACAGAAGGGTGAAGTAGAATTTTAAAAGGACTTGTCATCTCTATGGATATTTTAAAAATCTTTCAGTTGATTTATAGATATAACTCGATCACTGTCAATTATAACTTGAAATTATGTCCTAGCTGTTATCAAAATGTTTGTTTCCACAGTTCAAATTTATTAAAAAGAAATTTTGAACGTTTCTTTAATGCACTGCATTCCATTCTACATTCTTTCTAATTTTCTTGGATTTGTTCTTTTTTTTTTTGCATTATTTTACAAAAAATATTTCCGACAAAATCAATTCCTTCTCCTCCTCCTCCTCCTCCTCCACCTCCTCATCCCCCTCCTCATCATCATCATATATTTGTTTGCCGTACCCAAAATCTACTGATATTACTATTAATTATTAGAAAATGAAAGTTCTCATTATTGTTGCTATTTTGATGTAGGACGGATTTTTTTTTATGTAAAAATAAGGAGATGTGGTGTGATTGCCTTATGAGACAACTATCCATCAAAGTTGAAATGAATTGGTTGTAAGCAATTATAGGCAACCGTACGGCTTTTAACAATGAGAAAACCCCATACCGTATGGTCGGCTATAAAAGACCGCGATATGAAAATTATGAAACAATTTAATTGAGAAAACTAACGACCTAATTTATAACAAAACAGTGTACGGAAAACAATTAAGACAAACATGAACCAACGACGACCATTGAACTACAGGCTTCTAACTCGGGGCAGGCATATAAAGAATGTGGCGGGGTTTATGTTTTATGTTACTGTTGCATTAGAACTGTATATAGATATAAGAAGATATAGTATGAGTGCCAATGAGACAACTCTCCATCCAGGTCACAATTTGTAAAAGTAAACCATGATAGGTCAAAGTACGGTCTTAAACACGGAGCTTTGGCTCACACCAAACAGCAAGCTATAAGGGGCTCCAAAAATGACTAGTGTAAAATCATTCAAACAGGAAAACCAACGGTCTAATCTATATAAAAAACAAGAAACACTTATGAACAACATCAACAAACGACAACCACTGAACATCAGGTTCCTGACTTAAGACAGATGCAAATAAATTCAGCGGGTTTAAACGTTTTAAAAGGTATCAACCTTCACCCTTACCTGAAATAATAGTGTAACATCACAACAAAGTATTTGTTAACAGTTTGAGAGCCCAATGAAAATCAGACAAGACTTTTATTATATTCAGTTACTAATTTTTTCTTACATTTATTTATAACAATCATAACTAAAATTGAGAATGGAAATGGGGAATGTGTCAAAGAGACAACAACCCGACCAAAGAGCAGAAAACAGCCGAAGACCACCAATGAGTCTTCAACATAGCGAGAGAAAAAAATCCCACACCCGGAGGCGTGCTTCAGCTGGCCTCTAAACAAAAATGTGCTTTTATTTCACATAATTTTACATGGGTTGACTATATTGAGATATAGGGAATAATTCGCTTAGACAGCAGCCAAACGACACAAATAATGAATACAAATATGTACACCACTGTCAAAGGGGAGGGTTAAGAGCTCGGAAACATGTTTAACTCTGCAACATTTGTATGTACCTGTCCGAAATCAGGAGCCTGTAATTCAGTGGTTGTCGTTCGTTGCTGTCTGTATGTGCCTGTCTAAAATCAGGAGCCTATAATTCAATGGTTGTCGTTGGTTGCTGTCTGCAAGTGCCTGTCTAAAGTCAGGAGCCTATAATTCGGTGGTTGTCGTTCGTTTCTGTCTGTTATATTTATTTTTCTTTAATGGTTAAGAACATAAATCAAGCCTTTGGTTTTCTGAAACTTTTATCTTTTAAGTTGTGTCATGTCGGGAATTGTATAACTTACTATATACCGTATGGGTTTTGCACATTTTAAAGATGTTCTATAGTTTTAAATCTACGTAATATTGGTCTCTGGTTTTTAGTTGATTTTTGGCAATCATACCACATCTTCCTATTTTATCATACTTTACTTCAACACACTGTTATTGTCCAGAGGTAGATGAATTTAAATCACACACAGATTAAAGCTTTTGATTTCCGATCTGATTCCAGTGGTTCTGATTTAGGGAGGAACCATTTGATTTTTATGGGGGGGAGGGGGGCTAGGATGAAATATTTTAAAAAAATAGGCAGGACAGGAGTTTTGAGTAAAAAAAAAAGGCAGGATGAGACACTTGCAAAAAAAAAGTCAGGACGACAATTTAGGTAAAAAAAAGTCAGGATAAACCAAAAAAAAAAAAAATAACAGGACCGAATAGAGTGAAAAATAAAAAGGCAGGACAGAGATAACAGCTAAAAAAAAATGCAGGACAAAATTTTTCATCCTAGAATTCCCCCCCCCCCCTTTATCTTAGATTCATGGTTTTTTTAATAGTGATTATTGGCTTTGAACTAGCTGTCAGTAACTACGAGTACTCTCAGAGCTGTACTTAGAGTCTTTTTGTTAAAGTGATGTATAAGTACCCATCTACGTCAACTCTGTGTTTTTGTCAGATGTATTTCTATGTGTATACATCTGATGAGTTGAGGCTATTTCAACTGATTTGTATACTTTTTTCTTATGTTGTACTGATACACCACTGTTCCTTATAAGAGGAGGTTTATCACCTTCAAATGATTTAATCCCGCCACAATTTGGGTGTGCCTGTCTCAAGTCTGGAGCCTGTAATTCAAAGGTTGTCGTTTATTGCTGTGTAACATATTCGTTTTTCGTTCATTGTTTTGTACATATATTTTGCCGTTAGTTTTCTATTTGAATTGTTTTACATTTGTCATTTCATACCTTTTATATAGACGTTGCACATTGTTGAAGACCGTACGGTGTCCAATATATATATAGTTGTTATTTTTGTGTCATTTGGTTTATTTCTTAAAAAAATCTTATTCCCAAATTGATGAAAAAAAAATTCTGTTCAAACAGACGACAAAAAAAATTATTCTGAATCAAGATTTCCTCCACATCTTATAGTGTTAAATTTTAATATCGTTCGCCCCATATAACCCACCGCCCGCCCTTTTGATGTTAAATGGTTGCTACCTTATTATATTTGTTTTTTAGTTTATTGTTTTCTCTATAACTTTATTGAAAAAACAATTTACACCTACATAATAGCTTACAAACATACATACGGTAGCCTATCATTGCTAATATCCACTTCATTTGAACTTTGGTGGAAAGGCGTTTCATTGACAATCATACCACATCTCCTTATTTTTATCTATATAGCAAACAATGAAAACAAACAACACATAGACATATTCTCTCTCTATATATATATAACTACACAGATTAAAATCTTTTTCAGGATTCCCTGTCCTCAGTCTTATTGACTTTGAAAAAAAACCTAATTTGTTGGTATCCTGTTTTGTTTCAGGATTAATAAGTAGTCTCGCTTGAATTATAATACTTTGTTTTAGAGCCTTTTATACCTTCTAATACGGTATGTGTTTTACGTTGCTCATTGTTGCAGGTCTCCCGTTGACCTGTATAGGTAAATAGACCAGCGTCAGATTGTATTCTCATTGGTAATCATACCATATATTCTAATTTTTATATGAGGAGAGTGCCACGCTCTCTGCATAATAAGAGCCATTGCAACAACTCTTTGGTGGGTCCTTAAGTGGCCTGTTGCATGAATTTAGTTCTGTTCCTTTTCAATATTAGCTCTTTGCCAGTGGCAGTACAAATAAGCCTAACCTGGACCCCAACGGAATCTATTGCAAGACCTACCTTTTGTATTTTGTAAATTGATATCGTCATGAGTATGTATGAAATATTTGCCACTGGACGTTAAACAAACTGCAATCAATCTGATTTTTATGCATAATGATAATAGATAAACATTTCCAATGAAGATAGCCATATTTTAATCTGTTCTGTTCTGTTATAGAAAATCCCTCCTTCAAAGGAGCACTTCGCACAATGTCGAATAAACACTATACTTTAGTGAAGCATACATATTTATTATGTAAATAAGGTTTGTGTACAAATAAACAAATATCATATTACATGTATTCATATTCAATTGATTCCCCAATCTCTCTATACATGATCTTTTTCCACATAATTTTATAGTGTACATAGTATCTAAGGTTTCCACTATTAAAGATGGTATGGATGGTTGGTCCTTCATTTCTATATTCTATTCTGTACACATCAACCCCCACCCCACCCCCCACAATCCACACACTCATTAAAGAATCATGGTTCATGTTAGCATTTATTAACTTACACGTCCGATCATCTAAACAATATCAGAAGACAATATCACTTTTATCCTGAGCCATTTATACATAAATGGAGATATGCATACAGACAGTACCAGAAATACAGAATTTTTTTTAATATATACACACAGTTTAAATTCAGCATTGAAAGTTCATTCGCTAAGTAAAAATCACAGATAACAACTTCGTTCTTTTTGCAACTCGTCACATCCTTTATTGATTGCCATTAAGTGTTTTATAACTAATTTTAAGGCAATATATGTATGCATGTGATTGCAAACATTGATTCACGTGATTGAAAAAACGGATAAATCACGTGATAACTTTAAACCAGTTGCGATCAAAAGGAACTCATGATAAACAGATCTTAGTTCATATAATTCAAAATAAGAATTATGTTGTAAGATGATGGACTTCCAATGCCTTTTTCATACTGCTTTTAATAAACAAAATAATAAATACGCATAACAAAAAATATCATTTAAAACATATGTTAAAGCTGCATCTATTAAAAGATGCTTTTATGGCATTTGAAAACGAAAGGTTCGTGCTACTGTTTTAATAATTTATGCAAAAGAAACTGCTGCGTATTGCATTGGACCAGCCAATAACTTTCAACACTTATGTCCGTATAAAGAGAACTTATTTGGAATATAGTTACTATAAAAACCATCACTGGATGTTAAGTGTTCAAATTTTCACCTCTTTTTAACCCGCCTGCGGGTCATATTGATTTTTGAAATTTGTTATTTTAAGTACAATACGGATAAAAAAAATTAATTTGATTCTTATGTGAAATTTGGACGCATAAAAAAATAAACTATATTTGTTACATGAATACTTGACAGCCCGGACCTAATACATGTCGGACTAAGACTACTCGGACCAACTTTAAGACAACTTGAACCAATGTTGAAGACAATTTGGGCCGGTCTAAAAGACCACTCGGACCAGTTTGAAACCCAACTCATACCAATTATGAAGGCGATACATAAATGTTCCAGAGACTAATTGATCAACTTGTTATATGTTCATGCAGTGATCTAGCTAGACATGTCAAGATATTTGTTGTTTAATTTATTTTATGAATATATGGTCGAGATAAATTTACCCAAAAGTCGTCAAAATGATATTTTTGGCAAAATGGTCAAAGTTGTCTTTGGTCCGAGTTGTCCTGATTCCATGTTACAAGCATGTAAATCAATTTGGAAATAGCTCGCCATGATTAAAAGCACAGTGCAGCTGGATATATCAAAATAACTAATCCTAAACATTGAATAATTAATTTTACATCCTAATATACACTAGTGTTACCTTTTATCAACACAACATTATTACATGCATTTAAACTACCAATGAAAGACTATCAATAAACATTGCGTAAACAAATCTTCAAACCCTTTAAAATGGCTATACCCGGCTATGAATCAAACTTAATTTAGAAATCATTTTTTTATTATGCACACCTTTCCCTTATGTCCTAATTGTAATTTAAATTTTCCTGGTTTCCTTTAACAATAACAACACTAGAGTTAAATTATAGGAACCAGATTGGTGTACAAAGATGTATTGTTCCGTTCTTTATACTATATTTCTTAATCAAAAGAAGACTTTCAATTTAAAACAATGAGAGAATAAATTTGTAAGGAAGAAATCTGATAAAAATATTAATCAAGGGTTTGGCGAAATATCAGATAATTAGAACAACATTCAAGGTTTTCGAAAAATGAATGGCGTATATTTTCTATTACGGAAATAGTCGAGTACATACGATTACAACGGAAATAGTCAAGTACATACGATTGCAAAATTGGATTCTACGCATAGAAAAATTCAGATTGTTATACAAGTCTTAATATTATAATTGTGTATCACCTTTTTGAAGTTTACCAATATCATTGTTTTCAGAAGACTTAAGTTCAATATCTTGTAATTGTATTGACTTTTGGGGTTGTGAAGAGTCTGATTTAGAAGTTGAATCACTCTTCATTACAGAAATGTCTGAGTCTGATTCACTGTCACTATTCACTTCAGATGGGATAAAATCTGCCGTATCGTATATGTTTTCATTTTTCTGCTCGGTTATACGTTCAATTATGGCCCTTGTTTCATTTTTACAATTTCCGGCAGATTTGGATGCTGGGATATTTTTTGACGTAGCACCTATTTCCATATCACCCGGTTCTAATTCGTCACTGATTATATTTAAGATTGGTTCAGCATAGCTATTTCTATTCGACCAAGACCCAATGTCAGGTAACGAAAATTCGCTATTTGTCCTTCTCATTTTTTTCCCTATACTTTGGAACCATGAACTCCGTTTATCATCTTCCGATATCGTATTGAGACTCGTTCGCGATTGACCAATAACGGATCTGAGAAGAGATCCCCATTTGTCTCCTGAACCAGAACTTTCTGGTCGAGTTGATTTAGCAAGTCTTTGCCATTTGTCTTTAATGGCTTCCGCCTTTGTTAGAATACTTTCTTTATTTTCTTTACTATGTTCCAATAGTTCAATCGCTTTCAGTGCTTTTTTACTTCGCTTCCCGCTTCCTCTGCTACCTTTGCGACCTTTACCTTCCTTTACGGAAGCGTCTTTCTGACTGCCTTCCTTTTCCAGATCTTTGGCTAAATCAAGGAAATTTTTCAAAAATTTTCCACCTAGATTTCCAGTGTGAGGCGTGTCCCGGCGTTTGTTCTTCAAAATTTTTCTAAGGGTTTTCCTTCGTCTCACTTTCGGTGAATCGTCCATTGTCACACTGCTATCTTCTTCACCATCGCTACCTATCGTTGAAATCGAACGGGCATCTTCGTCATCCTCAAACCTTTGCATTTCCTTAACGAGTTGCACTTTGCTTGTTATGTCCATTGATGTAACCTCGTTCTGATTCGGCCTCATACAGTTGACTTCCGTCGACGCCATTATATGCAAAAATGTACCGAGACGGTGAAATATCATCGATATAAACTGAATCAGAAGCGCAATCCCAAACACAGCCATGAAAAACATAGAAATAGGTTCAAGTTTCAAATATTTTCCAGCAGTATCTTTACAAGGAAGAGGAATGGTGAGGCCAGCACCACTGATAGCATTTGAATACTGCAAACTAAAGATGATGATGATAAATAAAGCATTTAACATAAAGAACATCAGGCTAGCTTTATTCCTTAATTGTATCAAATCTGTTTGCATTTTTTTCTGCTGCTGCGCATCGGATTGAAGAGGATATAAATACTGACGAATCAGCTCCTTCCAAAAGTGTTTCTCTTCTTTGTTGATGTAACGAATTTTTCCATGACCGATATCAGCATCGTGAATCCAATATGGCGTATCGTCTTCATGGGGAAGCGCTTTTTGTTGAAATATTGGATTGTCTGAAAAAGACATAATGTAGTATGATGTATTTATTTCGTTTATTTATCTAAACTTACTCAGGAAAAGATTGACCTTTTCGCCTAAAAATTAAAGAAATACATAGATACCAAAGTTCAGATCTTACACATCAACTTTTCGCTATGATATTATTTACCAAACTGTTAACAATGCAAAGGATAACAATTGCCACATGTGGATCAGGATCTGCTTACTACTCCGGAGCGCCTGAGATCACCCCCAGTTTTTGGTTGGATTCTTGTTGCTTAGTCTTTAGTTGTGTATGTTGTGTCTTGTGTACTACTATTTCTCGGTTTGTGTTTTTCTTTTTAAGCCATGGCGTTGTCAGTTTATTTTCGATCTATGAGTTTGATATCCCTCTTTTATAAATTTTGCCTGTTATTCTCTATTCCTTTATAATTTAGCATTCCATTATTCTCTATTCGTTTATAATTTAGCACTCCATTATTCTCTATTCCTTTATAATTTAGCACTCCATTATTCTCTATTCCTTTATAATTTAGCACTCCATTATTCTCTATTCCATTATAAGTTAGCACTCCATTATTCTCTATTCCTTTATAATTTAGCACTTCATTAATCTCTATTCTTAATTTTTTTAACCTATTGTTTTATATTCATTATTTTGTTGGCTCTTTATTTTGCATGTTTTGCCTGTTGTTCTCTATTCTGTAAACCCCATCTACAGCCTCATAGTGATTGTGCTAAAATCACCATTGCTTGAGTAAACAAGATCAATGTTTTAACCGACTGGTTGCTAGTGATTACCTTAATACACCTTTATTGCTATGGCGTTGTCAGTTTATTTTTGAATGATGAGTTTGAATGTTCCTCTGGTGTTTTTCGCCCCTCTTTTATATAATATTCCAATCCGAAAAAGTTCTTAAATTATACAACTCTTGAAGCTATCTGGTTCCCTGTTTAAACAATATACTGTGCATACAAATTTCCAAAGTGTTATTTTTAAACCACTGTAAACACTTCAATCAAAGCAATTTTCTTAATTTCATTTGGGTTCAAAAAATAGGATCATAAACTGTACAAAATGTTCACTTTCTGCACGTTTTCCGCCCTATGTTCATTATTGATGACTTTTTTCTTACATCACTTGACCCAAACAGGAAGTTGTACAAATGACTGGGTTTTTTTTCCCAGTTGGACAAAATAGCGATAATGTGTATTGAATCCCTATCCTCAACCTATAACAAATTTTATTGAATCCCCTTAGGTGTACAGCAAATCAAAAATGCACTAATAATTGGACATACGACATGAATCATACATGTACGTTTTTTTCTCTGTCATGAAAATATCTTACAAAGTCATGCTTATTGCTTTGTAATTTAAATTCTTTTCAGGTCAGTACCACCACGTCCTTTATCATGTCCGACGTTTAACTAACCCATTAGCATACATTTGTGTTTACATTCCTTTATACACAGGATTTATAAAGATGGGTATACAAACACAGTAATTACAAATAAAAGAACTTCTTAAATTGGTTTATCTTCTTGAACAAATATTTAAACGTTGATTAGAAAGTTTGAAGATACATGTCTTAGGAGTCGGGTCATATGGTCCGGGAACACAGTTATCGTCCCTAATGTGGACAGTGTGTTACTTGCCAATTTTTGTTTACACCTCTTCTAAATGTATTTCTTCATGTTTTATGCCTCAAATAGCAAGTTAGGGGGAGGGTGAAATTACACTGTAAAAAAATTTGGATGATGAATTTTGAAGTAAAGTAGTGACTTGGTCCAGCTGAAAAAGGTTAAAAATTAGCACTTTGGAAACTCAAAAGATTTCAAGACCCCCTTAACATAAAATTGTCCATATTTTGAGTAAGAGCCGATGAAGTTTTCTATAATTTTGATATAATTTGTCCAAAAATCTATGATGAGTTTATTCTCAAAAATAGTACAACACACTGTAAAAATATTATTGAGACAGCGCAGGTGGGATTCTTTTTATTTCATATAGATCCTGACGTGGTTACGTATTTATATATCCCTTGTCTGTACATTTTTCGGTATATACGTTCCTAATGAAAGGAAAATAAAAAAGCGAAAATTTACAAAGCTTTAAATTCAATCATAATCATGATAACAGTAGGAAAATTGTAATTTTTTGACAATACACCAATGCAGTTACTGATTATTTGTCACATTTTCTAAGGCTTTAAAATAAGGAGCCGTATTTGAATTTCAATGAGACAACCTTTTTTCCAGAGACAAAATTACGAATATTTCAAAGACACACACAATCCGACCAAAGAGCAGAAAAATCTCAAGGCCAGCTAGGATGAAATTTGAAAAAATAGGCAGGACAGGAGTTTTGATTAAAAAAAAACTAAGGCAGGATGAGCAACTTAGGAAAAAAGGCAGGATGAGCAACTTAGGAAAAAAGGCAGGATGACAATTAATGTAAAAAAAAAATCAGGTTTAACTATTCAAAAAAAGGCAGGACGGGACAGAATGAAAAATAAAAATAAAAAGGCAGGACAGAGATTACAACTAAAAACTAAAAATAAAAGCAGGACACACTTTTCATCCTGAATCTTCTGGTTTTATCCATGCACTGTCGCAATTATAAATATTCCCCGCTTACCCCTACTTTTCCCTTCATAATTATATTGCAGACAGTTTAAAAAGCCATATTTGAAAATCTTATAAAATCCTTATTATTTTTTAAATGTTTTACGAATGAAAAAAACTAGTTCAAAATATTGTAAAATCTATGAAAAATCGAAAGCGAAACATTTCCCGCAAAATTTTTAATGACAAATGTTTTGAAAACAAGCATACGGACAACTCATTTTTTTTCCTACTTTTTTTAGTTCCTTTTTTATATTCTATACATTTATAACAGTCTTTAAAAGAGTTTGTTATTTTGAAAGAAAGTAGCAACCATCTTTAACACATTGATATTTGTACATAAAATTGAGAATGGAAACGGGGAATATGTCAAAGAGACAACAACCCGACCATAGAGCAGACAACAGCCGAAGGCCATCAATGTGTCGTCAACTGATTGAGAAAACCCCGCAACTGGAGGTTGGTTCTCAGCTCAGGTTTCTTTGATTCAATTCTAATTCGCCGTTTCAGAATCTAAAGGACTATGGATAAAAATAACGTTACGTCATTGGATGGACTTCCATTGTTTACAATTTTTTAAACCAATCACAACGTTTTGGTGTACGCTTTTGAAAATATTACCCAACATGCAACTATACTCACATCTAACACCTGCTTCTATCTCTTTCTTTTCACTAGGTTTCCGTTTCATCTCATCGGTATCTATGTTATTTTCTGTTTCAGGTTTGTTGACATCATTAGGTTGTTGTTGTTTAACAATTTTCTGCTCAAGTTGTTCTAATGTTGCAAGTATTTCTGCAAATTTAGACTCTGCTGTATTAACTGGTTCCTTTGGACAACACAAACACTTGAATAAATTCCCAAAGGAAAAGGCATAACTGCTGGTTTCCTCATTTTTGTTATCTGCAAATTTACTTAAAATCGATGCAATTTTACTGTCCTGCGTTTTGGTCTTTGGTTTATCCGGCTGAGCTGCTATTGCATTTTCCCTGGTACCCCACGATACGACATGCAAATTACATATAGAGTAAATCATCAACAGCATAGACATACTTGGAATCAGTAAGAAGTACAGTGCTCCATGAAGCAAGCAGTAAAATTCTTGTGGATGTAATATTGCAGATATGATGAATATTCCTACGATAAATATCATGAAAATTGTGGTGGGTGAACAAATTCCTTCATGTTTCATCTCTAAACCGAGGCCAACAACAACAACCATCATAACTAATGCATATATCAGAGACAGTATCCCAGCGAAAAGAAGCTGTATCAAAAATAAGAATATCTAAATACTAAGAACACAAATATTTGGAGATGATTGTTTAGCTAGCAATGCAACATTTTCTACATAAGACAATGCCTTTTCAAGTGAGGAATATGACAAGTGCAAATTGATAAGGCACTTTCCGTTTTGAATTTTCATTTGAGTTCGGATTATTTGTTATTTTACTTTTCTTAATTTTCGAATACTTATTAATACACAATTAATTTGGTACACACATTATATAAATAACATATAGCTGAGAGGGTGATAGAGCATTTTTGTTACCCCCTGAAACATTGTCAACCGTGGCGAAGCCAAGGTTGACAATCCTATTTCGAGGAGTACCAATCTGCTCTTTAACCCTGTTAAAACAATGTTAATGGTCCCAAAATAAAATAACGTCAAATCATTGGTTGCATATCGATTGTTTAATACATTTTTCACCAATCACGACGATTTGATGAAAAAAAAAATTAAAATTACCCAGAATGCATTAGACATCCTTAATACTGACACAATGAAATAGCAACGTTACAGGTATTAGAAAAGACTAAAGTGAAGCAAGATGTTTTTTTTATACCTTAACAATCAATGAAGTAGGTCTGATACCAAAAAGTTATACTTGAGCATTTTTATAAAAATCATTGATGTAAATTCAGGTCATTGTCCTCTAAATCATAGATTTTTATTGGTGTGCACGAGAGTGTGACATTCCAACAATTGTCTACCGCTGAGTCATGGATAGAGAAATTCTCGTATTAACCAATCAAAGTCAGGCATTTTGAAACTCATATAATATTATATATTAGTTATCATTTTCTAAATACAATAAGTACACAATATTTTGACTATATTTTCAAATTGCAAGTATTAAACTCTTTGACTGGTCAATAGTATCCATCTATTTGACCTCGATGAAACTATTTGACCGCAAGCGTCATTGTTTTTCAAATGTAGCTACGGGATTGGAGGATTTTGAAAATACCGCGGGAGTTACGACGTCGAGTTTTATCTAATGTATCTAGGGTTGACGTCAGTGCAGGACGTAGCCTAAGCAATTTAGAATATGTATGAAGTAAACGTTAAACACAGTATAGTTGAGTTTCTGCTTTAAATATTACGATAGTTGATTAATCCCCGCTATTTATTGTCTGTTGTATTTTTCGATATATAATAAAAACACTTACTGACTGGATATTAGTGGAATAGTAAGTTCATTGTGCCCTCGGATATAACTATCGCCCTCTCCTACGCCTCAGGGCAATAGTTGCACCTTTGGAGACAATAAACTTACTATTCCACTTATATCCAGTCAATAAGTATACATTACTGTATAAGAAACTTGCCAGTTGTAAAAAATCTTTTTATAATTGGCCGTTTCAGAATCTAAAACACTCATGTTATTGCTCGTACCCCAAAATGAAAATAACGTCACATCACTAGTTGGATATCGATTGTTTAAAAAAATTTTAACCGATCACGACGATTTGGTGTACACTTTTGAAAAAATTACCCAGAATGCATTAGATTCTGAAGCGGTGAATTAAATGGATCAATCTTCTTACCTGCCATTTACTTTGGACTGTGAAACAAAAAATTAGAAACAAAAGCAATGGAACTAAGTTTAGACACAGTGATGTTATCAATTCTATCCCGAATGCTGAGTTGAGTGCACCAACAACCAATAGAAAAATAGTTCCAGGTGTAACCATTGACGACAGGAATAGCAGCATTTGATAGGCTATATATAGACCGGAAATGTTTTCATTCAGCCTCATTACATTTTTCCAATCGCCCAAAAGATCCAGTATGTTAGCCATTGTAGATGGAGACCATCTTCGTCTTTGATTGTAAAATTCGTCAAATCCTTCCGGGGCATAGGTTAAAGCATCAGCCGCGGCTGAATATTCCACTCTATATCCTTGTTGTAACAACAAAGTACACAACCAACGATCTTCACCTTAAATGAAAAAATAGTTCGATATTACAGTCAAACCTGTGTATAAAGGTCATCCTTTAGACAATAGAAAACTGAACTTACAAGAGAGATGACCTTTGATTTAAGGATCAAAATGCATAGCTATTACTACAGCTGGAAAAGAAGATCGTTACCTGCCACATCAGGTTTTCGCTTAAAAGATATGACCTTTATAACAGGTTATGCTCGAGACCAACATGTTGGAATATTCTAAATATAATACAAATGTTGAAGAGCAGATCTAAAGTAAAATCAAATTCGGACAAGGAATCAATGTTTTGCAACAGGGAGATATTCTTTAATTTAGAAATATATAATAATGCAAGTTACATATTAAGAAGATCACCCCCAGTTTTTGGTGGGGTTCGTGTTGCTTAGTCTTTAGTTTTCTATGTTGTGTCATCTGTACTTTTATTTGTCTGTTTGTCTTTTTATTTTTGGACATGACGTTGTCAGTTTGTTTGCGATCTATGAGTTTGACTGTCCCTCTGGTATCTTTCGTCCCTCTTTTTATATTAACTTTAATGCGGTTGATGCGTGTGAATGCCTTATCCACGGCAAGATGTAAATAAAAGCAACAGTAGTATACCGGTGTTCAAAAGTCATCAGTTGATTGAGAGAAAACAAATCCGGGTTACAAAGCAAAACCGAGGGAAACACATCAACTATAAGAGGATAACAAAGGAACAACAGTAAAAACATTGCATTCTCATAAAATGACAAAATCATAAGCTCAAACACGTCAAATGGATGAATAACAACTGTCATATGCCTGACTTGGTACATGCATTTTTCTTATGTAGAAAATGGTGGATTAAACCTGGTTTGATAGCTAGCTAATGGATGAATAACAACTGTCATATGCCTGACTTGGTACATGCATTTTTCTTATGTAGAAAATGGTGGATTAAACCTGGTTTGATAGCTAGCTAAACCTCTCACTTGTATGACAGTCGCACAAAATTCCATACATGCGTGGTTTCAATCCTTTTGTGTTTTCAGTGTTCCGGGTGAATGTAAATCTAGAAAATACATGCAGTTGACAGACAGATATCACACCGAGTCACGTGAATTATTGTGTTGTAGAGACAACATGTAGAGCATCTAATTATTTATTAGGGACAAATCGTTTGCTTAATTTTGAATATTTGTCCGGAAAGTAAGTTTGGTTTCACACTAACTGTACGAGTTTTGAACACTAGTAAAGCACTATCTAATAAGTTCTCATCATGAAAACGAACTACAAGATTTAAATAAATAATGACGAACTTCCATGAGATAGTATTAAAAAAGAGAGGCGAAGGATACCAAAGGGACATTCGAAGTCATGAGTTGAAAATACACTGACAACGCCATGGCGTTAATCGTTATAAAAGAGAGGCGGAGGATACCAAAGGCACATTCAAACTCATAAGTTTAAAATAAACTGGCAACACCATGGCGTTAATTATTGTAAGTTGATATACAAAAGAAAGAACTGAAATATCAATGAACGGGGGTCGTATTGGATGTACCTTCATGAGGAATAACGGTGAATAATCATGCCAAATGACGTTAACGGTTATTTCTGGTGCATGACGATATAATGTACATTTTCTTTATGGCGATAAAAAATCTGATTTTGACGAATCACTTTAAATTCTTTCCAAAAATTTTTATACCTTGATCAAACTGAACATAATGCCTTGCTTCTGTAGAAACAGATGTGTATTTCCTCATGACATTGTCATCCATTAAAGCTGAGGCTCTAAACAGGGAGAAACATCCGGGACTGCACAATACACAGCCAATCATGTGTTCGGTTGCCTTTTGTAGCCAATGGCTAACAGCATATTCAAATTTCTGGTACCATATCATTGGTCCTTAAACGACAAATATGTTTGTAATTAATTTATTTCTGTTTAAGAATGCTATTTTGAATAAAAAGTTAAAATAAGTTTATATTAAAAAAAGATCAGGACTTAAAATTTGGGACTCGAAAGTACTTCTAAATTAGTAATTGAAACAACCATTTATGAAAACCTTCAATAAATCTGATATTTGCAAAAAGACAAATTGGGGGTTTTCGATCACGTGACTGCATTTTATAAGAAACATATCAACAAAAACTTTTTGTTTCAAATTCTACGAACTAATCACAGCATATTTAAATGTCTGGTACAATATCATTGGTCCTTAAAAGAAGAAATATTTTCCATCCCTTATTGGTTTGGTAATCTGTTGACAAAATTCTTAGTTCAAATGAATTAAGTCTTCTATTTATGACTTAGTTTTTTAATTTAGAGAGTATCTACATATAATGTTTGTCATATCAACGAATACATCAAGCGTTTAAAATTCTAAGGACACAATAGATTATTTTCATATAACCGACTTTTGACTCTGGATTATATAATTTGTCGACTGGTTACCTTGGACATCATGGTACTCGGTCAAGTAAGAGCAACCAAAATAAGTAAAATCAAACATATAATCGGTGTAATTTGAGGGGAAAGTTTACTGTTTTCCGATGATTTTGTAGTGAAAAAAAATAAATTAATCAGGTAATTTTCTCCCAAAATTGTACAGACTGAAAGCTTGGTTTTACTTCTTTAGCTTGCTCTTCCCTGACCTGGTACCATGATGTCCAAGGTAACCAGTCGACAAATTATATAATCCGGAGTCAAAAGTCGGTAATATGAAAATAGTCTATTCTAAAAAAGAAAACAATCATGGAGAATGACATGTTGCAGTATATATAGATTATCGTTGGTTATCTCAACGAGATTGATTTCCTCGCTTGAGCCGGTACGGCGAAAGTGAGAAAAGCAATCGAGTTAAGATGACCAATGATAATCTGTTTATCGCTATTTTACCTATGAAGACGTTGTTAATTTCCTTGACAACGGCACGTGTTCCTTTAGTTTCTAGTGATAATTTTCAAATCACTCGACTCCACTGAGAACGGAAATTATCAGTCAACAAGATCAAAAGAAAAATTCGTAAAATACCGATAAACATGAAAACCTTAAATAAATCACAGTCCAATTATATATATAATCCATATCATTCATTCTAAAAGTATCTCTCTTTAAGACACAAACTGAATATGTAGCATACCTGTTCCAATAGGATGAATACGCCCACATGCCGCGCCCACCTTTTCGTTTTTCTTCATTCTGTCTACCAGTAATTGAACAGCTGAAGGTTTGAAATCTACATCTCCATCTAAAGCGAGTATATAGGTATTGTCAGCAAGTGTCTGTTTACGTTTTGAATCGAGAGGTTCTGACAAGAGCTTGAAGCCAAGTAGATAGTACATGTACATGACCTGAAAGAAATAACAAATTGTCTTAGCAGTTTTCCAAAACGAAAAAGGCAGAAACAGACAAAAAGATCGAAAAATCTTTACGTAACATACATGACATAGGAAGGGTAAGAGAGTTTAATCCACCATTTTCTACATACGGAAAAACCTGTTAGGAATATGACAGTTGTTTCCCATTCGTTTGGTGTGTTTGAGCTTTTGATATTGGCATCTGATAAAGGGCTTTCTGTTTTGAATTTTCCTTGGAGTTCGGTATTTTTGTTATTTTATTTCTTGAACTTAATGACTATAGTTCAATTAGAAATATCTTAAACACTCCTCATTGAAACGTGTTGTCTGATATTAAATACTTTACTTGTATCTTGCATAAGTGCCATGCTGAGTGTCAGGAATTTTATCTCGAATATTGTTTGATATAATATATATGAGAAAACAAGCAAACGGTGAACCATTTAGTTTACAAAATTCAGAATGCTATGTTAGGTAAGACAACAGTAGTTAATCGATGTACAAATCTTTTAAATCGATCAAAAAATCAAATAAAGACAACAAACAAAGAAGAACCGGTAGAACTCTAAAAGGAACGAGACCGATTTCCTCAGAAATGATAAGCGTTTCCTGCTATGTATGAATCCCAATCATATGACAGTTGATTTCAATTCTTTTGATGTGTTTGAGCTTAAGATTTTGCCATGGACTTTCCGGTTTGAATTTCCAGTGGAGTTCGGTATTTTAGTTATTTTACTTTTTTCGGTTAAATTACAAATTAGGCGGGAACATTCTGGTATTTCAAGATATACGACTGCGAATAGTTACTAGTAAGTTGACACACAAACATATCGTATTTATCAACAAATTTTTGAAGGTTACCGTAAAATTATTGTAGCGTCAATTCTGGTCGTTTATAAATAAACTCTTCATAGATACCAGGAATGAAAATTTGTATTTGCACCATACGCGCGTTTTGTCTACAAAAGACTCATCAGAGACGCTCGAATCAAAAAAAGTTAAAAAGACCAAATAAAGCACGAAGTTGAAGAGCATTGAAGACCAAAAAGTCCTAAAAGTTTCGCCAAATATAGCATTTTTATATAGCCAAGGTAATCTATTCCTGAGGTAGAAAAACCTTAGTATTTCGAAAATTCAAAGTTTTGCAAACAGTTAATTTATGATTATGACTATATAAATGATAATTCATGTCAACACAGAAGTGCTGACTACTGGGCTCAGCCTGGTGATACCCTCAGGGAATAAAGTAAGTCACGTGACAAGTTGAAACATACCTGGCTCCATCTTTTTTTGTGTCGTACTTTCACCTTATCTTTGAGGTGAGCACTAAGTTTATTATTTCCAGGTAAAGTCCATTCCAATCTGCCGCCATAAGGTGTCGGGTATTTTGTAGGAGGCGGAAGCTTTATGTTTACATTGTGCACTTTGCTGATGAAGAAAAAAGCAAAATCAAACTTATTTTTTCGTTTCAGTATTTTCATATCTAAAATATATTGGCGCATGTCTATTGTAGCAGATTGCAAATAAACTCATTATTAATAGAATGGATAATATATTGATCTATCTATTAGTCAAAATTGGTGAACACTCTAATTCGTTGTTACGCTTCCGATGAAAATAGTCCGTTTTAGAATCTAGAGGACTATGGGTATTGTTATTGTTCTGACCCCAAAAAATAAATTAAAAAAAAAACGGTTGAATTTCAATTGGTTATGACGTTTAACCAGTCATGACACTTTTGAAAATATTTTAACCCGAATGCATAAGATTCAATGCATATTTTGTTTATACAAATAATATAGGATTTGAGAGATTTGAAAATAATAGATGCAGTATAATTAAATTTCAGAGGCTATAACCAGCAATGAAATGGTATGATAAAATGGCGTTTGGGATCTGAAACCTTGTTACCGTAAGACCTGAAAAAAAGTTCTTCACTTTTTTAAGATTTTTCTAATTACAATGAATGTAGCTACGAATTAAACTGTTTCAATGTGGCGGGTAACTGGTACCTGAGTTACGTTTGTCAGAGTGTGCAATGATTTTGTATGTCTGTGTAAATATGAAAGTTTCTTTCAAATGAATAAACCGGGTCAGAATTGACTTCAAATAAAACGTAAGTATTCTACTGAATGGGGACCAACGGAATATCTTAGAAAAATGAAAAGTGTCCAAGTTCAGCAATTACAGCATGTGTTTTGATAGAAAAACTTAAATAACCGATATAATATCCATCCATGTAAAATGTCGCTGCTTAAAAGAGTATAGTAATTTGTTTTTATAGTAATTAAGATTACAACACGATGTTGACTGCAGTTCAACAATTGTTGACTGCAGTTCAACAATTGTTGACAATTTTACCTATTGTGTCTGTTTGTTTTGCTAACACATTTTTTTCAATATAATGGGATTATATGCGATTGTCATACAAGTGAGAGGTTTAGCTAGCTATAAATCCAGGATTAATCCACCATTATTTACATGAGGAAATGCATTTACCAAGTCACGAATGACAAAAATGACAGTTGTTTTCTATTAGTTTGATGTGTTTGAGCTATTGATTTTGCCATTTGATAAAGTACTTTCCATTTTAAATATTCCTTGGAGTTCAGTATTTTTGTGATTTTACTTTTTACAGTATCGTCGATAGCAGGATTAAAATTAAGGAATAATAGTACTGTACTTAAAGAGTTGCCACCGTCAATTGTCGATTTGATGGTTGCAAATGAAGTTTTAATGGCGACGCATAGCAAATGAAAAATTGACGGCGACAAAAAGGACTTTACATTTTCCTTGGAGGTTAGCATTTTTGTTATTTTTCTTTTGTCTGCTTACCTTGCTGCATCATCCAGTACACGCATGAATTGTTTTACAAAGCTATTAACATGGTATTCGTACTCATCATCGTCATGTGGCTCAAAAGCGTCATCAAAGAAAATATGTGCTATAAAGTAACAAAAGCGTCATCAAAGAAAATATGTGCTTTAAAGTAACAAAAGCGTCATCAAAGAAAATATGTGCTATAAAGTAACAAAAGCGTCATCAAAGAAAATATGTGCTATAAAGTAACAAATGCGTCATCAAAGAAAATATGTGCTATAAAGTAACAAATGCGTCATCAACGAAAATATGTGCTATAAAGTAACAAATGCGTCATCAAAGAAAATATAGCTATAAAGTAACAAATGCGTCATCATGTGCTATAAAGTAAGAAATTTCAATGAAAACCTTGTTATGAATGAAATATTTCCCCGACACATACACACATTTAGAAACATTCATAATTATACGATCATGGGTAGATCGACCAACTATTGTTAATTTAAATGATATAAACTGCATGTTGAATATTTGTAGTATAACAATGTTGAATTCTGAGTGTTGTATATTAGGTAATGTGTATACATTAACAGATTAAGACAAGAATATAATTAAAATAAAAGTACGCTGTCGGGTACGCAATTTTATGTCTACCTATGTGACGTCAAACGCGCGATTCTGCGTCAAAGTTAATGTTAATCTAATCATGTGTCTGTCAGGGTAAGGATTCGGTCCCAGTACTTAAAATCTTTCAATCCTTTATGGGTGGATTTTACATATATAAATAAAATGGAATAATAAAAAATCAAAATGAGGTTTTAAATTTGGTGTATGCCTCTGTGGGCTTCTTTGTTACATTTGTTTGTTTTAATAGTGATTAAGATGATAATACAATGTTGACTGCTGTACCCCTATTTTTGACATTTTTACTTATTGTGTCTGTTTGTTTTGTTCACGCATCGTTGTCAATATAATGGAATTTGATGCGACTGTCATACAAGTGAGAGGTTTAGCTAGCTATAAAACCAGGTTTAATCCACCATGTTCTACATAAGGATAATGCCTGTACCAAGTCAGGAATATAACAGTTATTATCGATTCGTTTGATGTGTTTGAGCTTTGATTATCCCATTTGATTAGGGACTTTCCGTTTTGAATTTTCCTCGGAGTTAAGTATTTTTGTGATTTTACTTTTTTCGCTACATACACAAAAGAATTCTGAGTGTCGTGTATTAAGTAATGTGTATATATTAACAGGATAAGACAAGAATGTAAAAATAAAAGTACTCTGTTGGGTACACTACATACACAAAAAAAAATCTAAGTGTGGTGTATTAGGTAATGTGTATACATTAACAGGATAAGGCAAGAATATAAAAATAAACGGTGAAACTCTGTGATACAAAATGCATTATATATCAAGGCTTTGTTAGTTACTTATGAGTGTGAATATCACTTTGGTATCACTTCGCCTCTATTTCTCGAAAATGATCTGCTACATGAAAAGTCGATAGAAAATACCTTACCTTCGAATTCGTAATAATCAGGATCTACGACATCGAAAAATTTCTGGGCATTCTTTCTTGCACATTGATCATTGTCCAGTCTATAATAAAATTAAAAGAAATCAACATTATCTTAAATTTCCATAGTCTAGCAAAGTTAATATAAATGTATGAATGTTTTCCTAGCTTGCACAACCGTGTCTTTTTAAACTCTTGTCGGATACACTTCATAAAAAAGTTTAAACACACTGTAATACGTAATACAACCACACAAGAGCACTGAATATTGTATGAATGGTCCTTACGTACCTAGTCAGCAAATGTGTAGACTCAGTGATACATTTGGGTTCCACCATAATTGAGGGCTGATATGCATAAAACTACTAAAGTTAAGATGTGTTTTGAACGGACGGATTTTTCTACATGTCCTACGACAAATTAGTACTGCGATTGGATCACTTAACTAAGTGGTTTTATGCATATCAAACCAGACATTAATACACTCACGTTATATAACTAGAAAATTATGTATCAAAGGCAAGTTGCCATATTTTAATCTCATACTATTTCGTTTTCATGTCGACTGTTTAATTGCAGATTTTGTAAAACACAAAGCTTAAAACAGGCAAAAATGACTGATGTTCTAGATTTTTGTTTTCCTTAGTGTTGTATTTAGTTATGTGTACATACAAAAACGTATGCGATACTTTGATTTCTTATGTCATCGTGAGAATGTTTAAATCGTTTCTGATCACCTGAGGACCTCCCCGTGTTTTGTTCGTGTAATCAGTCTTTAGATTTGTATCTATTTATATGTACTGTTGTTTGTCTCTTTGTTTGTTTTACTACTTTTTCGATGAACTTTTCGGTTATCCTTCGACCTGTGAATTTAACTTTTCCCTTTAGTATTTTTCGCATCTTTTGACTTGTGTCGATTTGACCTTCTTCAAAATAGATTAATCTTGTAGCGATCTTGTCCGATTTCACATCCCCATTCTTTCTGGACGTTGATGTGTATTTATAAATATAGACAATGAGACGCACTACTGTGGCAAGTGTTTTAGTTAACTCACCTGAATAAAGACTGTAAAATCTGTTTCATTTCCCTCTCAGTCTCGTGCCACATAGTTGCACATACATATATCCTTGGTGTTGGATTTTTCCTTACAGACGGTCTGTTATAGTCAAAATATCCAGCCTCTGTTTTAGCCAAGGGACTGTCCGGCATAAACTTCAATTTTGTCTGATACAAAAGAAAAATTATTCTTTACTTAGTAACACGATTGAACGTTGTTTATCAGTTTATGCATGCACGTTGAATCATTTAAATTTTTTTCTATATGTATTAAACTATGGCCTATTATTAATTGGTTCTTACAAAACTTTGTATTACAACATTAGAGCTAGCTTTTTCGTTTTACCTTATAACATGAATAAATGCAGCTCGTTGATTTCTAACCTGTATTTTTTGTGCATTGAATTATTGTGTAATTGTGGTCTTTAGATAAAGAATCAAGTCTGTACTCCAAATATCGCAATAATAATTTATTTGAATGAATTTTCTACGTTTTATTCTAGCTTAAACTTGTTCTTTCATAAGCAACACCATGAGTGCTATATGTTGAGCATGATAATTGAGGTGCTAAATTGTTTACTCTGATCTGTATTCTTAAATAAAATATTTTTTACGTTTTAACCAGATGACGTCTTTTTTTTTCTTCCGCGAGCAACACTAAGAGTGCCATATTTGGAGTGGATAAGGGAAATAATTATTTGTTTACCTTGCCAGATCCTCTAAAATCTCTATCCCTGTCATCTCGTCTCCTATTTAACATCAATGACTGCTCCAAGAATACCCCACAATACAGAGGTTGTACGAACAGCCTGATGATAAAAACAACATTAATTATTTCTCAATGAATACCCCACAATGCAGAGGTTGTACGAACAGCCTAACGATAAAACAACATTAATGACTGCTCCAAGAATACCCCACAATACAAAGTTGTACAAACAGCCTGACGATAAAACAACATTAAACATACATGAACAATGTATACAATATCTGATATTTTTTATAAAAAAAGGTATACACAAAACGGAGATGTAGTGTATACATAATTTGAATTATGAATGTTTTAAGGTATAGCGATGGAAAACATTGCTACAGAAAACCAAAGTTTGCCATCATTGGGTAGCGAAGTAACATGATACAATCAGGATAGAAATCAATGATAATATCATAATACTCTTTGTGTATATTTAAATGTGTGTGTGTATTTTTTAGCTATCTGGCTTTGTATGTACCTACAACTGCAAAAAGCACCACAACATCTATTATATAGAAAAGGCTTCTCTTTACTCTTTCACAGTCCCATAAATGAACTGAATGGAAAGTGCTTAAAGAGGGGCGAAAGATACAAGAGGGACATTCAAACTCATAAATCGGAAATAAACTGACAACACCATGGCTAAAAAAGAAAAAGACAAACAGACAAACAATACCGGTAGTACACAAAACACAACATAGAAAAATAAAGACTAGGCAACACATACTTCACCAAAAACTGGGGATGATCTCATGTGCTCCGGAAGGGTAAGCAGATCCTGCTCCACATGTGGCACCCATCTTGTTGCTAATGTTAGTACAAACCCAAATAAATAAAACCCAAGTTTTATTATATTCAGGTTATCAGAAAACGATCATAAAAGATACTTCTTCGGAACACATGAGATCATCCCCTTTTTTGGTGGGGCTCGTGTCTTTCGTTTTCTATGTTGTTTTTTGTGTACTGTGGTTTGTCTGTTTGTCTTTTTAGTTTTTAGCCATGACGTTGTCAGTTTATTTTTGACGTATGAGTTTGAATGTTCCTTTGGAATCCTTCGCCTCTTTTACTCGCTCCATAAACACGGTTCGTTCTGCCGTTTCAGACTTTTCTGAATAATGCTTTGTTGCTTTCTTTTTATTTATGGAAACACATATCTTAGGAAGGTTTGTTTGCCTAATTCATTAAGCGTAACAGTGAACGAAGGTTTCATTTTCATTTTATATTCGACTTACTAGTTTGAATGTCTCCTTGGCATCTTTCAGCTCTCTTTTGATTATCAAAAAAAACGGCATGATTTATCAATCTTGTAAATGGACAAATCAGAACCTTATTTTTTTAATAGGATTAAACGCCTTTTTAAAGGAATGTAATTAAACTACAAAAATATCTTATCATCATTCTAATAAATGTTTTGTGTTTATTTTTTAATTTAACGAGGATCACGAAGTGAAAATAAATATTTTTAACATCGCCGCCATCTTGTTAACATTGATTACAAACTGTAGTTCCGTCAACTTCGTCTATCGAAAAATAAATAATGTCAAGAGATACGACCAGAAGCTCTCTCGGCCAATCATACAAATGTATTCCCAAATATGCAAATCATATCAGAATTAATGCATAGTACTCTTACCTCTCGGTCTGTACAAGCCTTTCAACTCTTGGAATCCAGATGTGAAATGTCACCCACATAAAGGACAACCACCATCCGATAACTACCGGAAGAAAATAAACTGAAATCAACTTCTCCAGGAAATCATATGAAATTCCATGTAGATCGCATGTCCACTGTAAATATTCTGGCATTATGGAATTCGTTTGACCCCCGGATTTCCAAGATTCACAATCACTCATGAAAACACCTGCCATTATTGGCGCAACCAGCATTAACGGTAACGAAAAGCTAGCAACTTGCAGCATTATTTTACACGCGGTTTTTGAAAGAGTGTAACACAAAAGGCAAGCAAAAATCTGTAAAATGGCGGTCCAAAATGGATCGTTGTAATAATTTGTTCCTTGAACGTTAGCAACATATAATGGATACACCATATGTGGGCAGTCTGTGGCATTGTTAGTTCCATGAAAATATAAAACTGAAAGACAAGAAGATTTGAACGTACTCATGAGAGCAGTCATCAGCAATAATGTTAGAATAATTTTCCACGCACTAACAACAGCGTAAATTTTCGTTCTCATTCTTCGAATATTTTTCTTCAGTTCCTTCAACTTGTCACCAAGCTTTCCCAGCTTTGTATATTTGTTGACGTAATTCTCCCACCATCCGAGCGAAATAAGAATCATAGACAATAAAATCCCCCAGCTTTCAGCTGTCTTTTCACCACGAAGTATGCTAATTACCGGCCACAGTGTCAAAACCGATATTTGAAATATAAGTGCGACTATGTCCGCCAATACGATATAGAACTTACGTCCTTTTTCACCCTGACAATCAAATAGTTTCAGTAACGATGGAACGACGGCCACACCGAAGCATAGAAACAGACCCCGTATTGAATCAATCGTTGGTAGCACATAAAACGCAAAAATGCAGATCCCAATAGAATGTAAAGTTTCAACCACTAGAACCTGAGAATGAACAAATTGAAATTATAAGTTTACAATGTAAATATCATTTTGAGAATAATTATTTTTTTAATAAACATGACAATCAATCATTGGAAGCACATAAAACAGAAAAAATGCAGATTCAAACAGAATATAAGGTTTCAATAACTAGAACCTGAGAATGAAAAAAAAAGAAATTATAAGGTTACAATGTATATATCATTTGAAAATAATTATTTTTTTAATAAATATGACAATCAATCATTGGAAGTACATATAACGCAAGAAATGCAGATTCAACTGGAATATAAGGTGTCAACATAAGGAACATGAAAATGATAAATGGATATTATTATGTAACTATCTAAATATAGAAAGTAAAATAACAAAAATACCGAACTCAAAGGAAAATTCAACTCATAAAGAAAAAAACACTATAAGAATAAACAATTCAAAAAATAAAAATAACAAAAATACCAAACTCCAAGGAAAATTCAAAACGAAATGTCCCTGATTAAATTACTTATTGGTCAGAATTGTTTTGTTTCCTTTTTGTCTGTTTGTTTATTTTTTATTTTTTTTTTTTTTTTTTTTTGGTTTTATGACACTTATAAACCTTTGATAAAAGACAGTCGGCAATACAAAAAAGGTATTCATACTCATACATGTACGCCCAAGACAAACTGACAACTCTTTGGCAAAGACACGATAATACAATTTTTTATGATCTGTACGACACTGGTGAAAGGTTTCGTAAATTCCCCGACCTTTTCCAGTTTTCAATCATCATAAAAAAAGGTTTAAATGCTTCTAACATTAACAAATTATGTACATTAGGAGATATCTGTATTGTACTCTCCATTCTAATGAAACTGACAGAAAACAACGTCAAATCATGCACTTTAAATCTGTCATACCGCGTCTGCGCTTGCGCGTATGTTTTCATAGCATCAATTGAATTTATGCTATGAAAATTGGTGATGTTATCAAATCAAAATAAACGTTACAAACGATGTTGCATTAGAATAAATAACTTACTATTGCTAGAACTGCAAGAGTTGGCTGTCGTGTCTTCTTGAAACATATCCTCCATAAAGTTTTACAAAATGTAAACAGATATGGTGTCGTTATGACAATAAACAAAGCCCACAACCACCGTACTTCAACATTTTGTGAAAGTTGATATTTTTCTTTTTGCGGTAGGTCAGGCGGAACTCGTCGACATTTTGTCACAGTTTCAACGCCGTCATTTGATCGAGTAGTTTCACAATCTAAAGTCACATTTTTATAAACGTTAGAAGTTATAAGTAATAGTGTACTTTTGCTGAGCATTGTCATGAGTATGATGAAAATGGAAAGAAATATGCTTGTGAATACTTTGACAATTTTTCTAAAGATACTGATGTAATCATCATCTATGCCTGAGTCTTCGTCTCTAGGTGTAATCCGAAAAACATCCCACTTTGAATTATTGGATGGAACTTTGACCCCGGGTCTGTCTATAACTGGATCTTTATGTCTGAAAAAATTTTAAACAACATGAAAATTGATGACGTAATGCGCATAACTAACCGGGGATTTTTCCTGTCACACCTACACGTACCTTCACACGTCCGCTTGCTTAACCTCTCTATTGACTTGAAGTCATTTTGGATTACGTGAACCAATATTTAAATTCATATCTTTCACGAAATGGAGATGAATAAACTTTTTGAAAAAAAAAAAGAATACAACACGTTATAAATTTCATGCGTCCGAAGCGCTTTTCTGGATTTGCCTTTATCAGGAAAGCACAAAGCCTAATATTTGAAAGCCAAGGATGCCTATAAGAACCAAAACAGTTGAAGAGCTATATAACCAATTTATCAAATATAAATGACCAACTTTGAAAGTAGAAAACCCAAAGTTCTTCTAGTTATCCGCGTTATTGTTACTCTCACTATACAAACTATTATACTATTAAACCAAAAAGACTAAGTAACCAAGATCAAGCTGATCTTAGTTTAAAATTAGAATACCGTGAAAAATAATTTTTATTGATACGGTCGTATATCTATAAAAAACTGATCCTTAGCGATGTCCATCTTGATATTTTCACCATTCTTAATTACTGATAGATGTAATGATTGTGCTTTCAGTAAAAAAAGTATAACAGATATACAGAACTCCAAGGTAAATTCATAAAAAGACCCATAAAAACTAAGAAAATTAAATGTTATCAATTAACGGACCGAGCGGAAACAACTGTCATAAAACAGACTTGGTATAGACATTTTCCGAAGAAAGTAATTGCAACCCTAAAAAAGTTTTTAGAAAAAGCGAAATATAATTTTAAATTGAAAAGGAGAAATCTCACTTACAATTATGAAGAAATTATTTGACACTTACTCGACATATTTGGGAGGATACGTGTTGTACTTATTTACGAACTGAGATTGCTGCTCTTCCTCAATGGCTGCAGCTTCAATATTTCTAGTAAGAGTTGATGCCCTTGATCCTCCTCCGTCTTTCATGTTGTCACTGCTGGTGTCGCTCCAAGAGGTATTTCCGTCGATGTTTACCGTATCCATGGTACCGTCAAACGCTGGGTTTATCACACCATTTGGCATGGTCTAAATGAAAAACATCCTATTGTCAAATTGTACGAATGTATTTACAGTTACTTAATAATGTTTCAACCAAATTAAACAGAAGAAAAATAACTATATATCAAATAATTCTTGAAATGGTAAAAAGTAAATAAGTTAATTTCACGAAGAAATAAAAGTTTATAATGCAAAGAGAGACGGATGAAGTGAACAACCATACGAAGATGGTTTTCAACTATAGTTTATATATTGATGCTTTGGTTGGCCGGGCGTGTCACAGATGTTTACGGATAAGTCACGACTCCATCCTACTTTGGGTTTTTTTAAGACATTACCGTATTTGATCGTGTCATGATCAACACGACGGATTCTACTATTGGAGCTGGATAAGTTTATCCTTGTTCATCCCGGTTTTCCCCGGGGTTTGTGTTTCTAAATCGCTAGTGTTATATGTAGTGCTTTGTCAATAAGTTACCTGTCTTTTTTTTCTTCTTAACCGGATTGAAATTACCTATCAGCACTTGCTCTCATTTTTGTTCGGTTGTTTATATGTCACGTGTGATATAAATTAAAAAAATAAATAAAAAGAAGTAAGAAAATGAATTAACTATTATGATAATATTAATTTTAGTACTATTAATTTAAAGATAAGGAGATGTGGTATCATTGCAAATAAGACAACCATCCACAAAAGCTAAAATGAAGTGGATGTAAGCAATTATAGGCAACCGTACGGCCTCCAAAATGAGAAAACCAATATGAAACAATGCAAATGATAGCTAACAATTCACCAAAGTTCAAATGAAGAAGATGTAGGCAATCATAGGCATAGGCAACCGTACTGCCTTCAACAATGAGAAAAACCCATACCGTAATATATTTAAATAGTAGAGAAAGTAAAAAAGGAACTAAATAGTAACATGGTAAAGGAAACTATACATTTAAGTCATGTACCTCTTTCTTGTCTTTCGTTATAAGTGTTTGTGTGCTAGTATAACGATCTTCCTGCATTTCTGGTAGTGTTATATGTCTATTGATTAATGTACCATCAATATCTTTGTCTGGAGCAGTTTCCTAAAATCAAATGAAAAGTTAGATTCAAATTGAATGATGTTTTACATAACAGAAGTAATTTTTGAAAAGAATAAGATTATATGCTTAGGATTGACTTAAAGACCACTCACCACCATTGAACTAAGAACAAGTATACTGCAAGTCATCGTACGGTTTATAATGATGAGCAAAACTTGGTTCTATAAAAAGCCCCTAAATACTCAATGTAGCCAAAAACAATTCCAAAATAATCAAACAGTTCATAAAATGAATTATAAATTTGAGAATGGAAATGGGGAATGTGTCAAAGAGACAACAACCCGACCATAGAGTAACATTGTTCTGATTAGAAAAAATAGCTTTAAACGAAAAGAAATAAAACAGACATCAACTTACGACAACAATTGGACTACATGACTATATCTACATGGTTTATTTTACGTGTACACCAATTATGACCTTAAAATTGTAGAATTTAATGAACAACGTAAATGACAAAAATCAAACAAATCTGTGAAGAGAAAGATCGCATATTTCATGTTTTACACGCGACAACTGGACAATTCCTTTCTGTTATCGCCTTGAAATATTACAGAAAAAAGTAAAATCACAAAAACACTAAACTCCGAGAAAAATTCAAAACGGAAAGTCCCTAATCAAATGGCAAAATCAAATGATAAAACACATTAAACGAATGGACAACAACTGTCATATTCCTGACTTGGTACAGGCATTTTCAAATGTAGAAAATGGTGTATTGAACCTGGTTTTATAGCGCTTAACCTCTCACTTGTATGACAGTCGCATCACATTCCAATATATTGACAACGATGCGTGACCAAAACAGACATAATAGGTAACATGGTCAAAATATACAGCAGTCATCACTGTGTCACAATCTCAAAACAAACAAACATTTTACAGAAGCTGAAAATGTTGTTAGTCTCATTAAAATTACAGCAAAAACATTTCCAAAGTCTAGCAGTGGCAATGTTGCAGGGTTTTCCTGTTTGTTTTCATCGATAATGGTATGTGTCCATCTCTTTCCTGCTGGTACATAATATCCATGCAAGAAAATAAAATAATCATAATGTCAAACAATAAAACACGGTTTCAATGATGATCACCACCAAGTAATCCAAAACCTCTGTAAATACATTAAATTATTGTAAAACAAATTCTTAATTGCGAATGAAAGCATGCCAACTGTTCATTAATATTTAATCTAGGTAGATTTAAAATTTTGGAAATGTGAAGTGTTTCTCCAACTTACAAGACCAGCATAAATTTTCCTCAAACGTACTGGAGTGCAGGCTTCAGACGACACAGTCAAATCCATGACAAATTAACTCAACTATCATCGCTTTCACATAAAACATATTTAATTTGATTGTTTGTACAAATTCATGAAGCAAGCGCGAGCTCATCATCTGCGAAGGCGTGCAACAATCTATAATATTCCAAAATAACCAAATGAAACGGATGAAAGTTAATGAAATTTTATTTACTTTACTTACAAACAATCAGGTAAACAGAATTAAGTAGAGAAGGTATCTTCTACAGCGAGGCATTTAAGAATCTTTGAAGCTGATAAGAAGATTAAGCATCCTTGTTAGATGATAAACAAATATAGGTAATATGTCTTTAATGGTTTGGCAAAAGGGAAAGTCGGAAAGGCGTTCCAAATGACTAAACAAACAAAGTAGCTAGAGATAGGCATATTTGGGCATTGAGATATGTCAAAAGTGCTTGTAACTGTGACGTGTATGGGTGTACCTGTTAGTTGTGTAACGTGTGATGTCATAATTAATTATTTTATTAATTACGCTGGTTTTATATTTAGATGTGATGTCATGATGAATGTGTTTTGGTATGAAATGTATTTAACTGCACGTAACTAAATTCAGACCGGATTTTTCTTCATTTGTTTATGCTTAATGAATTTAAACCCTAACAAATTGTTTAATTCGCTTAATCACAGTCCTTAAACTAGATTGTTACAAATGCATTGCGAATGCTTCTGGAAAAACTTTTATTAGAGGGTTCCTATTTTTTAAGGATAGCATTCATAAAAGAGGGACGAAAGATACCAGAGGGACAGTCAAACTCATAGATCGAAAACAAACAATCCAACGCCATGGCAAAAAATAAAAAGACAAACAGACAAATAGTAGTACAGATGACACAACATAGAAAACTAAAGACTAAGCAACACGAACCCCACCAAAAACTGAGGGTGATATCAGGTGCCGGTTAAAGCAAAACCAAATAGGACATGAGCAAATAATCAGCATTGAGCTGCAACGTTTTTTTTTAGATTAACATAATTAGGAAATAAAAACTTTAAAATAATAAAGTAACATTTCAATACTGAATTCAAGCACTGGCTACCTCGGAACTTTTAAGAAGAAAAAAAAATATATGTCATTAAGATCAACAGATTTCTTTAATGACATATATGCATAAACATTACAAGCAAGAAACAGCGACAATCTATTTCTTATCTTTAAGTGATAGTTTTCGATATTATCTTAAGTGTTTGTGTTTATAAAACACCGATGGTACTTCAGTATTTAATCTTGTATTTGCAAATAATAATATACCAACAGAAAGTTCACCCACAATACAACAGAAAGCTAACCCATAAAGCAACAGAAAGTTCACCCACAATGCCCACTGTCGATCTTTTCGATATTAAAAATTGATCATATGAATAAAAGTAGGTGTTGAAAATACGTCAATGAGACAGCAATCTATCAAAGCATGAACAAAAATCTAGAAGTGAACAAGTGGTCTTCAACAATAGATAGAATAGGTGTCTCATAATCGCCCGAGCTAAAAAAAAAAATTGTAAATAGTAAAAGTTCATTTTCATTTTCTATCCGATAATCAAAAGATTTCCAAGATAATTAGAAAAAAAACATATTCAAAAATGCTCATATTAAAAGTAATTTAAGATATATTTATATGTGAACAAACAATAAATATTAGAATCAATGTTGATTAAATATGCTATCTATAGACATGTAACAATAAGGGTAAAACCATATGCTTATTCCTGTGATATGCGTATGTCTACTCAAAGCATATTTAAACAATTGCCTTTTTTATTTATTCGAGGTCACGTGAGTGAACAAGGATACATCAGAGAACCAATGTGTTCGTTTTACATATAAGTAATTAAAATAAATAGTTTAATGTTCAGTGATATAATTTGTAAAAAGTACACATTTTGAGGTAATAAAATAATTCTATCAATTAAACTTATATCTCTAAAGGTAAAATATGCTTAATGATAAACAAGGTTAAACCTAGACACTGATTTTAAGAATTTGATAATCTGGTTGTTTAACGAAACGAATTTGATATCTTTATTAACGAATAAGGATAGTATATACAAAAGTATTACTAGTTCATTTAGATATAGGAAGGGTTTAGTTGAAACAGTCCAACGCCTAACAATCTGTAATTAATACTAAAATTTTTAAACAGCACAGATTAAGGGGGACGAATATCGCCCTCTGTTTAGTGTGAATAAAACAAACAGCGACATCAATTAACTTATGTATCACTTGTTTCCAATTTTAATTTCATAAATTTGTATCACTTGGTTCAAATTTTAATTTCATAAATTTGTATTACTTGGTTCAAATTTTAATTTCATTAATTTGTATCACTTGTTTCAAATTTTAATTTCATAAATTTGTATCACTTGTTTCAAATTGTAATTCCATAATTTTTTATGGCTTGTTTCAAATTGTAATTTCATAAATAAATTTGTATCACTTGTTTCAAATTGTAATTTCATAAATGTTTATCACTTGTTTCAAATTGTAATTTCATGAATTTGTATCACTTGTTTGAAATTGTAATTTCATACATTTATATCACTTGTTTCAACTTTTAATTTCATAAAGTTGATTATTTCTTTGTTTTTTAATTATTTTTGGAACGTCAGCAATACTCCACTTACCCATCATTGTGGTAAAAATTAAATTACAAAAATACCGAACATCAAGGAAAATTTAAAACGGAAAGTCCCTTATCAAATGGCAAAATACCGAACCCCAAGGAATATTCAAAACGGAAAGTCCTTTATCAAATGGCAAAATACCGAACCCCACGGAAAATTCAAAAAGGAAAGTCCCTTAAATGGCAAAATTAAAAGCTCAAATACATCAAACAAATGGAAAACAACTGTCATATTCCTGACTTGGTACAGACATATCCTTATGTAGAAAATGGCGGATGAAACCTGGTTTTCTAGTTAGCTAAACCTCTCACTTATATGACAGTCGCATAAAATTCCATGATATTGACAACAATGTGTGAACAAAACAAACAGACATAATAGGAAAAAATGTCAATTCTATTCCTGTATCTATAATGCTTTACCATAAAATAATTATTAAAATCAGTCAATTTGCATTTACCATAATATCATCCTATATATTAAATACACCCTTTCGCAGTCGGGACTAATGGTCTCATTGGTATATACAGTAATACTCAAAACTGGAAGATAGTCGCAGACCAGAGAAAAAGGGGAACGAAATCAAATTAGAAATATTCTAAAAAATATAATGCAGTTATTACATTGAATCAAAACATATAGTCAAAAATCAGTCGGACTATAATTTTGTGGCATGTCGGGCTATTATTTTGTGACATTTTCTACATTAAATTAAAATAAAGAGAAACAGTTAAAATAATTTCAAGCTGATGAGAGAACAGATCATGTGTCCAATGTTTTAATTTTTTATAGCACTGGGTCGATACCTCTGCTGGTGGACTATCAGTCCCCGGGGGTATCATCAGCTCACTGGGTCGATACCTCTGCTGGTGGACAATCAGTCCCCGAGGGTATCATCAGCTCACTGGGTCGATACCTCTGCTGGTGGACAATCAGTCCCCGAGGGTATCATCAGCTCACTGGGTCGATACCTCTGCTGGTGGACTATCAGTCCCCGGGGGTATCATCAGCTCACTGGGTCGATACCTCTGCTGGTGGACAATCAGTCCCCGAGGGTATCATCAGCTCACTGGGTCGATACCTCTGCTGGTGGACAATCAGTCCCCGAGGGTATCATCAGCTCACTGGGTCGATACCTCTGCTGGTGGACTATCAGTCCCCGGGGGTATCATCAGCTCACTGGGTCGATACCTCTGCTGGTGGACAATCAGTCCCCGAGGGTATCATCAGCTCACTGGGTCGATACCTCTGCTGGTGGACAATCAGTCCCCGAGGGTATCATCAGCTCACTGGGTCGATACCTCTGCTGGTGGACAATCAGTCCCCGAGGGTATCATCAGCTCACTGGGTCGATACCTCTGCTGGTGGACTATCAGTCCCCGAGGGTATCATCAGCTCACTGGGTCGATACCTCTGCTGGTGGACAATCAGTCCCCGAGGGTATCATCAGCTCACTGGGTCGATACCTCTGCTGGTGGACTATCAGTCCCCGAGGGTATCATCAGCTCACTGGGTCGATACCTCTGCTGGTGGACAATCAGTCCCCGAGGGTATCATCAGCTCACTGGGTCGATACCTCTGCTGGTGGACTATCAGTCCCCGAGGGTATCATCAGCTCACTGGGTCGATACCTCTACTGGTGGACTATCAGTCCCCGAGGGTATCATCAGCTCACTGGGTCGATACCTCTGCTGGTGGACTATCAGTCCCCGGGGGTATCATCAGCTCACTGGGTCGATACCTCTGCTGGTGGACTACCAGTCCCCGGGGGTATCATCAGCTCACTGGGTCGATACCTCTACTGGTGGACTATCAGTCCCCGAGGGTATCATCAGCTCACTGGGTCGATACCTCTGCTGGTGGACTATCAGTCCCCGGGGGTATCATCAGCTCACTGGGTCGATACCTCTACTGGTGGACTATCAGTCCCCGAGGGTATCATCAGCTCACTGGGTCGATACCTCTGCTGGTGGACTATCAGTCCCCGGGGGTATCATCAGCTCACTGGGTCGATACCTCTACTGGTGGACTATCAGTCCCCGGGGGTATCATCAGCTCACTGGGTCGATACCTCTACTGGTGGACTATCAGTCCCCGAGGGTATCATCAGCTCACTGGGTCGATACCTCTGCTGGTGGACTATCAGTCCCCGGGGGTATCATCAGCTCACTGGGTCGATACCTCTACTGGTGGACTATCAGTCCCCGAGGGTATCATCAGCTCACTGGGTCGATACCTCTGCTGGTGGACTATCAGTCCCCGAGGGTATCATCAGCTCACTGGGTCGATACCTCTGCTGGTGGACTATCAGTCCCCGAGGGTATCATCAGCTCACTGGGTCGATACCTCTGCTGGTGGACTATCAG